TGCTAATTGACTAAAATATTCCAGTAACGATGTGCTGAGAAAGGGAAGCAAGTAATACCATCTACTCAGAACCCAAGTTTCTGGCATTGTGTTAACAGTGGTTATTTCAGAAAATTACAAAAATATCTACTGAAAAATCTTGCACTTTTTAAGGCAAGATTATATCATGGGTGAAGTTTCTCTCTAATGCCATTTGGTGATCAGTTTGTAACTTAAGAGAATCATAAAGCTCATGATTTATTGCAATAAAATAATCTATTTAGTTTCTTAGAATAAAATAATCTACTAAAGTAAATTGTTTAAAACACTGAGTTACACAGAACAAATATTAATTGGTGGTGGTGATACTACATCTATTTTTAAAAAAAAAAACTCTCACAAGGATTGAAGTATCTTTAATATTGGTAACTTGCTTTAAAATTCAGACTTTACTGCACTGCAATTGGTTTGCTAATCTCTTGATCTGAATGTTTGGACCTTCAGTTGAAACACATAACACCATCAAATATTACAGTAAACTTTAAGACTGTGCCATTACCCTTCTTTCCCTTCCACTTCAAATAGGGGCTGCTGTTATCTAAAGTTTTAAAAATAGGAATATCAGACATCAGTACCTACTTGAACTTGTAATGCACAGAGAGTAACTTCAATATAAATAATGATACCTCATTCTTCTTCATTGGTCTTGATTACAATTCAAATATGCAGTAAGCCTCAGACCTAAGTGACCTTCAATTATTCTTATAGTTTCGCAACCAAACGCAGAATCATTCTATTACAGCAGAGAGACACTTCTAAAAGGGTTTCTGTAAGACGAGCCTTACCCTGAGGAGATGGAGGCATATTCTGGAGGTCTACCGGCTGCCCACTGTCCAAAGCTTCCAAGACCACATTAAATTTCTAATGCAGAAAAAACAAAACCAGAAAATTTATTCTAGTACATCCAAGACTTCCTAGCTGTCACAATGAATATCTGACTCTCAATGCATGTGGGTACAGCACACGGTATGTTTAGCATTCAGGATTTCTTGTGTGTATACCTTGCCTGCCTTCATGTACTCCTTTGCTTTCTCCAAGTCCCCTTGCTGCTTGGCTTTTAAAGCTGCTAATTTATACTCTTTCTGCCTCGTAAGTAGCATTGCTCGTGTCCTGCTCTTCTGGAGATCTGCAAGAATGAAACAATGCTGACACTTACAAAGAGCACGCAAGATGTGCATCCCTTGCTACATGCATCTAGTCAAACCTGCATTCATCCTCTTTTGCTTCGAGTCACAGGGCAATCTTACAAAAGTGCTCTTTCCTCCAGTCTCCAGACATTAAGAATCCCACTTTTCCCAATTAAAAAAAAAAAAAGTCTTTTAGACAGTATCCCAAAACTCTTTAAAGTTTGGAATTCCACAGGTCACAATACTGAAGAAGAAACTCAAGCACAGGAAAAGTTCAGTGAAAGATACTGACACAGGGCATATATATATTGCATATAACAGCAACCGATTCCACCACCAGAAATTCAGCATCCCACTAACAACTTTATCTGAAATATTCAGCAGGGAAGTTCCAAGATAAGCAGTGCTTTGCTACACAACACAAATGTCACAAAAGATGTAGCATTAAATTAAGTGTTGTAACTGCTTATCTTCTCAGATCATGATACCTATTTCCACGGTAGGACTGGAAGCAGCATGACCCTGTAGAGACTCTGATTCCAGATGCTGCACTGCCTCATGAGAGGTCTTCTGCTCATCATCTGCAGCAGACTCAGCTTTATTCTCTGGTAGGACACTGACTGAATCTCCTGAATTCTCTAGGTCCACTCCCGTGGCTTGAGGTAAGTGAGAACTCTTCCCCGTTGCAACAGGAGGTGGCATTTCTTCCTCATTGATTTTTTTGCCTTTCTTCACTGCAGCCAGCATGGTTTCCAGTGTCTGGCAGAGATGGAACAGCAAAGTCAATAGGCATTTTCATCAAACATATTACTAGCATAAAATCATTAAAACACAAATTCATTCCCTTTTACGCGATGGGATCTATTACACACACCACTACAGATTGCTGCCTTTTAGCTCCTCGTTTTTCTGCAAGGCTGACTTCAGCACTAACAAAAGGTGTTATGAGAGCAACACAATGTAAAGGACTTGTTACCCAAACTATGTCACTGCAAGCACCTCAACACCTAGAATTATTGGACAGCTGATGTGGTCCACTCAGCTTTGTCACAGAAAGTCACCAAGGAAGCCATTTATACCAACTGCAGATGGATTTTATTTATTTAAAACAGAATAAAACACTACTGCCTATGCGGATTTAGGGAAGGAAGGCGTCTGCATGCCTATTTAATGCAATAAGAAAAGTCATTAAATACTAATAAAGGAAATGAAGCTTCAGCTGGTGACCTATGGCAGGAAGCTCTCGCCATCTGTAACATGGGCTAACTGCTGCTCACTTTTTTAAAACCCTTCCTCCACCACAAATATTACTTTCCTCAGTACTTTTATTTTTATTTTTTTATTTAAGGTTCAGAGAAAAGACCACCACGCACTTTAAGCCAAAACAAAAGTTTTACTTCTTTCATCTTCCACAGTAACTGAAATGGAAGCACAGAAAGGCAACAACAACAACAAAATCTCATCAGTGCCAGAATCATTGCTATTTTCGGTTAGCCATGACATTGTTTGACCTATTAAGCAACACTGGCAGAGATACTTTGGACTGACTGCATGCGAGATTGGGGTTCAGACCAGTACAGCAACCCACACACAGCTCTCTCTTCTCCACGTGTGGGACGACAGACTGACTGGAAATGGAATTAAACACTGAGATTAAAGTTCACAGTTCCAAGAACTAAGTACAAGAGATAACTGTACACCATTTGTTGGCACGTCATTTTGCTAATTAAGGAACTGTGAGCTGTGAAGTGAGATCTAGTCTATTATCCTTAGTTACACTGCTTAGGCACAGGGAAGCTCCCTGCCTTGAAAAATAAAGGAAGCGGCAAACAGTGCACTAAGCTTTGCTGTTGGATGAAATAAGCTGGTTTGCCTACCGCTCTTGCTCTCTGAAAGGTCAGGGGTTTCATGTACATCCCTTTCAGAGCTAGCAGACAGTGGACACAGAGACGTCTCCTTTCTTGTGCATTCCTCCCCTGGGTTTGGCCTCAGTTGTTCCTGTTGTACCCTAAGACACCTGGCAGCTAGTGAGACATTACATTCTTCCCTCAGTGGACAGCGCTGAGCTACAAAGCTTTGCTCAACAAGACTGAGCTGGCTGCTGTCTGAGGTGATGCAGGGGACCAGATGAAAGCAAACACTGAAATAAAGGCGCTCTGCACAGCAGTAACACCAAGCACTACCAACTAACTACAAGCACGCCACCTGGCTGAAAAGATGCAAAGCTGAAGAAGCCGCTCCTTGCTGCAATTTTAATTGCCTTAATGAAAAATCCTATTCTATTCATTTTCAAGCACAGCCACCACACTCAGGGACAGGTTATCACCTTCCTTTGTCGCACAAAACTGAGTGGAAGGTTAGCATCCAAGGGAAGGCATCAGTGATGAACTGATGTATATGGTAGGTATATGTGCTAGGAAGCTCCTAAACTTTCCTTTAACAGTGAACAGTCATAACGGGTCAAATTCAGATCCAGACGGGTGGGTTTAACACCAGCGTTTACCACCAACCCTGCCTCCAACTGCCACCAGCCACATTCAACGGGAACAAAGCTGATGCACAAAAGGCATCTGAAGTTACACTTTATCTGTGTGTTTGCTACATCAGGTAGGTAGTAAGTGCAAGATAAGTTTTTAAAGTAACTCAAGGCAGCATATTAGAATTTCTCTCCTCTTCAACAAATTCAGAGACTCTGCACTACACTTCAGAGAACTGACTTTGCATCCCCCTCATTTGCATACCTGATGAACCCAACTTACCTTAAGGCCTCTTTCGTATCGGCGTACTTTGGCACTCTCACCTGACTCCTTTGCATTCAAAATTGCTGTCCTGTAGTTAGCAATTCTCTTCTCTATTGTCTGTTGCAGCTCACTGGTAACAGCAGGAAGCGAGGTGGTCTCAGAAAAAATAATAAAACAAATCAATAAAACTTATTTCATTCAACTATATGAGTTTTCCCACAGCACTGAAAAACAAATACTCCTCTTCTACACAGACTCCCATTAACCAAGAGCGCAAGGACAAAACAGTCTCTAAAACAGAGGAGCACTTGTACTACGCTAACGGTCCCTGGACCCACCTCTGGGCTTTCCTCTCAAAGGCGTAATAGAGAAGAATGGGTGGAGACATTCAGAAAACTCACAGTCACAGGGTAATTGGAGCCATGTGGTTAGGGAGTAGGTGAAGAGAACAGTAAAGTCTCTCAAACACCACACAACAGAGGGTGTGAAGAGGTATTTTGGCACAAATCTTGAATTTTTCTTTTCTTATTTTTAATACATGCTAGTTCACTCCCTTCCAGGCTTCTTCAACCTGGTTTTACTAAAAGAGTGCTCTTTTTCCTCCTCCTACAGCCTGGAACTAGTTCAGTGACAAAAGCAGCCTAAGCAAAGTTACGAGTAGCTACTTACAAACACTCTACAGCTACAGAGACCTTTCAGATGGCTACTGATGTAATTATTGCCATTATCTCTACAGAAACACTCTCAGACTCATTTATTAATCGGCCCAATGCACAAGGGCACTGGAATCCGTAGCACACAACAGAAACATGGCAGTAACTAAATAAAGGATTTGACTGCATGAGGACTGACAAATTAAGCTGAGAAAGCTAATGCTACTCAAAAAAATTCCACAAAGATGTCAAAGATGCTGAGTTATAACAAGTCTCACAATTTCAGCACACTAGAATACTCTGAGGAGCAAGATAGGAACTCTGGAAGCCTGAAGTGCAGTCTGCATGCTCATATGTATAGTGAAGCACATGGCATGCTTGATTGCAACTGTTTACCTCCTCAGTTATATACTAACATTAAAAAATCATCCACTGAACAAAGCAAAAAGTTCACCTGTATCAATACAGCATTGGTTTTCACAGAGAAAACAGCAATAGTATAGTTTCGCCTTCCTTGGAGGACAAACCCACCTCTCTAGATCCTTGTTCGTGACCCTTGTATGAGCTGCATGGTAACAACAATTCGGCAAAACTGTCAGGAACACGAAGCTCTTTCCTACCTGCGGCTGCAGTTCAGGTTGCTCATTTTCCGGTTCAGCTGTGGATGGCTCCACTGGTATCATTTCATCCTCACAGCTTCCTGTCTCACCTTCTGCTCCCAGAACTTTTTGCAATTCTGCCTAAAGTAAAAGTAAAAGTAAAAGCCAACAAAAGGCTTTTCCTCAAAATTTTCTATTTCCTCAAAAGACAAAATAAAATCAAGTCTCAAGCTGCAAAACCTTTGGATGGACCTTGAACCCTAACAGGAAGTCTAAACATCTTCTATTCAGTCATTTGTTTTTTAAATTTTATTTTTTATTTTTAAATGAAACTGGTTCCACTTGTATTCACCACAGGGAGTGAGGTACCACTCAAAAGTCACACTGTGGCCCCAGGACCACCACACAAGTTTGTGGTTAGAGATCTGAAGCTGGAGAAGTTCAGAAAAGTACTTTTACAAAGATCATTCAAATCCAAATTTGAATTTGCTTTCCTAAAAGCATCTACTAAAAATGGCAGTCAGAAACACTACTTAACTTTCCTTCCCTAAACCCTGCCAACTACATCACTCACTGAAATTACAAAGAATTTCTTGGGAGATATTCTCTCAGGCCAAGCACTACTCAAAGCAGCAGCAAAATGGTGACAGACATCACTTTAAGGAGAATGTCCCTGGCTGTATTTCACCAGCTGACATTGAACGGGATTCCCACTGTTTGCCCCACTTCTCTAAGACCCTCACACATATGAATGTTAGTTAGGAAACTCTCTTACTCTGGTGTGCAGGGGGTTGGATCCTGCAAAGCTTTATACCTAATGGAATGCTTTTGCAATATTTTAGCTTCTCACCACAGACATTTGTGCTAAATGCAGTTTTGTTTTAAAAAAACTACAAAATCAAAACAAACCAACAAAGACATACCAAAACCTTTTCCTAACAAAATTATGCATACCAACAGGTCTGTATCTTTCTCCAAGTCTTCATCATCTGCTTCTTCCTCCTCATCTTCATTCAGGTCCTTCATACACTCTGCAGCCATCTTTTCAATATGATCCATGGGCAGAGGAGCTGTAAAAAGAAACAGGGAGCCATAAATACAAAGTAACAGTTATGCAGTCAAGAGATACAAATTCTAAAGGAGTTGCCACCAGCTGAAAAACAGCAGTGACTTCTCCTCTTGCTTCCCCTTTATCAAACAGCATCACAGGTAAACAAGACGATATTCATGGATAAAGGGCAAAGACTGAGGAAGTGAACATCCGGGAAAAAACCAGTACTAGTGCTTCTGAGAGTGACAGTCAAGGCAGGCAATAAGACAAAGAAAGTGACTGCATCCAATAACCTACCTCAGAAATTAGATCTCAGAGAGAAATAACGTCTGTTTACTAACACAAGGAGCCCGAACAGCAAAATCACAAGCACTGTGATAGACTAGCAGGTACGGTGGGACTCAGCAGTGCTTAGAAAGCACGGCTACAAAAGAGAAAGATACTGTGGTAAGTTTGCGCAGTAATGACATTTAAGACTATGTAAGAAAGACACAAGTAGGACTGGATGAAACAACTGCTTCGGAGAAGTCACCTAAGCTCCTAGGCTAATTTAAGATACAGATAAAAGTACTTCTGTGATATTATTTACAAAAATAACTAGTTAACAGAAACTTTGTCATTATGGAAGACTTTGATTTTCCAAGGAAAAATTAGACTATTCTTGGATGTTATGTCAAAACTGTATTCCTCAGTTAAGATAAAAATCAATGGTGGCACAAGAGAAAATTATTATAAAGTGTTGAATACATCTGATGAGAACTTTCTATCCATGAAAGGGAATTACAGAGCAGTCTCTGTGCCCAGCAGGATCAGGTGTTTATTCCTGAACTAGTTTTAAGCTGATGCTAGATATTTATGAAAGGTATTTATGACATGATTGTCCATATTAACAAGGCCTGGACTCAGCACCTTGCCAGGTCTCTCCATTCCGTTTCCTTTGTCTCATGTCAGTTTACCCTAACAAAATGTAATTCACGCCTGGTGTAGTCCCTGACTGACAGAACGAATTCTGACTCCATATGGAACACAAGTGGTCCACATCCATCCATCCATCCATCCATCCCTAAATGTCAAGAAATTATATCTTTTCCCCAGTTCTATCCCTTTTCTTCTCTCCTCCCTGTTGAGTTAATCTGAGTTCAAAGTACTCTAGTTCCCAAAGATCTGTATGTATGGGTATATCTGAATTAGCCAAAAAATTAATTGCATGAGATGCAAACACTTGCATTAAACAGCCCAGCACATTTACCAGTAAAACTTCAGTTCACATTCCTTTTCAAAGCCAAAAATATGTTATTGTGTGTATTACAACAGCACATACAGCCACAAACCAGAACAAAGGTCAAGGTGTTCACCATAAAGAGTGCTCAGCTCACAGAGATCCCAATCAAACTACAACTAAATCACTGGAGTTTTGTACAGGGTCTCAGCTGCTTAAGCACAGGAGTATCTCTCTCTCCATCTCATGTTAAACTAGACACATATTTATCTTTTGAATATGATGATGCACATTAACACCAATTTTAGAGACACACTGAACAACACAAGCCTTAATCCAAACTGCTGGCTGTTAACATGACAAGGAAGGAAGCACAGCAAACAATCCATACGTTTGAAGACAGCAAGAAAGACAGACGAGAATATCTTTCTACCTTAAGAAACTAGTTTTATACATCAAACGCCACTGCAAAGTCACACTTGGCATACAAAAATAGAATGCTCCAAATCAAGGCGTCATACTTGTCCTGAGCCCAAAAGCAGCAGCAGAACCCTGGCGCAGAGAACTGCTAAGCAAATCAGAAAAAGTGCTCTTTCTTCTGCCTCACTAACTACACTTCTACACTGCTGTCTCATGCCTATGAAATTTTCCCTTTTCCAAATCTTGGCTACTTTGTCTGGCAATGTCTCTTCAAGCTTCTGGTCTTCACCCTGAAAACTCTGCTTAACTCCTCCTTGCTGAGTCCTCATCTCTACTTCATGCTGTGCCAACCACATCTTCCTTAGCTATCAACTTCCTCCACGCACTCTCAAGGTGAAGTTATTTGCACACAAACCCCAGCTGTCCACATAAATGCCTCTGATACTTCCTTCTGCAGACATATGACTGTGACTCACCAGTGTCCATAAACGTTGCATAAAATACAGATCTTCAGGACAGAGCTTTACAGTCAATTTAAATTGATCTAAAACGGATCCCATCCATCCCCTGCATTTGCTGAATCAGCTGAAAATTATTCCGGGTACAAAGCTGGAATTGTGTTCAAATAATCTAATTTACCATATCAGTGCTTCAGTACCTATATCAAACACAGTCCTCATATTTGACCCTTAGCAAAACTCTGCAACTAGGATAGCAGGCCATATCCAAAGGTAACTGGCTGTACTTCAAGGGTCAGAGTGTTCCCTACATGAAGCCCCAACTAGAGGCAAAAAAGCCAACTGAGCCTCCTCGGATGCTTGGTTCAGGTCTAATCCAGTATGGCAAGTTGAGGCTACAATTTCAAACATCCGAGTAGCTGAGGAACTGGCATTTACCAGACACAGATAGCAAGAGATCAGTATTTTTAAGATGTTGCAACAGTACTACTTTTGCTGCCTGCATCTTCAAGCCAGAGGGAAAGATGACTTTCCACCCCCCAGTCAGAGCTCCAGAATGTAAATCCAGGAGTGAATTACTGCACCTTGTGCTCAGCCAAGAACCCAGCACTAGCAGGTATTGTACTGGGTCCCTTTTTTCCATCCTTCTCCAGACAGGATCTGTTTCTCCCCTGTCCTTACTGTATCATTCTTCTCTCCAGATGCCAGCCTGCATCCTGTCCCCATCACTACACTGTACTCAGTCTCATGAGTCCCCAGTGCCAGCTGTCCAGATGTTCATCTTCCATAAGCTTCTAATCTATGTACTCCCAGTTCTATCAGGAAAACAGAATAGTTGTAAATTACTTTGGAAAACAGTTTTATGAGCACATACCTTTAGAAGATGATGTGATAGAGAGCAGCCCTGCTTAGAAGGACTTGGGGGTACTGGTGGATGAAAAGCTGGATATGAGCCAACAATGCATGCTTGCAGCCCAGAAGGCCAGTCGCATCCTGGGCTGCATCAAGAGCAGTGTGGCCAGCAGGTTGAGGGAGGGGATTTTCCCCCTCTACCCTGCTCTGGTGAGACCCCACCTGCAGTGCTGCATCCAGCTCTGAAGCCCTCAATACAAGAAGGACACGGACCTGTTGGAGCGTGTCCAGAGGAGGGTCATGAAAATGGTCAGGGGGCTGGAGCACCTCCCCAGTGAAGACAGGCCAAGAGAGCTGGGGTTGTTCAGCCTGGAGAAGAGAAAGCTCCAGAAGACCTTACAGTGGCCTTCCAGTACCTGAGGGGGGCCTCCAGCAAAGCTGGGGCAGGGCTGTTTACAAGGGCACACAGCGATAGGATGAGGGGCAACGGTTTTAAACTAGAAATGGGTAGATTTAGATTGGATATTAGGAAGAAGTTCTGTACCATAAGGGTGGTAAAGCACTGGAACAGTTTGCCCAGAGAGGTGGTAGAGGCCCCATCCCTGGAGACATTCAAGATCAGGCTTGATGGGCTCTGGGCAACCTGATCTAGCTAAAGGTGTCCCTGCTCAGTGTAGGGGAGTTAGACAACATGACCTTTGGGGGTCTCTTCCAGCACAATGCATTCTATGATTCTATGAAATGTTAATTATGCACTGTCTGAAGTTTAATTTCCCTCTTATGAATAAACAGACTGAAAAAACACATTAAGTGACATGATCAGGGTAAGAAGGAACTCAGCACTTGAAAAGCTGACAACAATTCGAGAGCTCCTCACATGCAGATTCACCCTCAAAACACCATCCTGCATGCATTAACCATGAGTAACCTATGTCCAACGGCAGAAGTTCTGCTATTGTGCTTATTAGCACAACCATGCTTGTTAGCTTTAAGTGTTCATGAAAATCTTGAAATCTAGAGAGTGGAAATAATTTACAATTTAGTTTTACATACAAACACCTCCTCTGTTTCTCATCAATTACAGTGTTTAGACAGTCACTTTTTCTAAATGTTTTAAAATTCTTCATTTCCCTGCTGCTCTGTGTGAAGTCCCTTCAAACATTACAGGCAAACTACTGCAGAGCCGCAAATAAGGCTGTAGCTGCACTAAACTTTCTTTCCAGCACCTGCTCACACACTTGTAGCAAGGGCAGGTCCCATCTCAACCACTGGCTGCCACCCCTCCCTTACAGCCACAGCAGTGTTCAAATAGGCAGGTAGCAAACCAGATCAAGGAACTGATTCAAACAAAAACCTAGCACAACAAGAGAAGTTTATTTTTACAGATCAGTTTCCTGAACCAGCTCACCCTGCAGCTCCGTAAGCATGTATACCAGCTTAGAGGCAGAGCATGCTTACTAGAGACTGCCCCTCTCAGCAGCAGCCTTGAGTTACAGTAGATTACAGCAATCCTGTAAAACACTGCATAGCTGCATGCAAACATTATCAGACAAAGTTAACAGATGCTTAAAAGATTAAGAATAGCAATGATCCATTTCAAGGCAGATTCTAACCTCCTACGTAACATAAGCTACAGGAGTCTCCTAGTAATTCCATCAGTACCAGGATTTCCCTCTTAAAAGGGTATTCAATTTTGGCTGCAGACTCCAAGTAACTAATATAATGCTCATTCAGCAAATTCAGTCTCTAAACAAACACAGAAGAAAAAACAAACAACAAACCCCCCACAAGAAACAAAATTTCCATTTTGAATTCACCTAGCACCTACTACACCTTTTTATGACTTCATATGCTAAACAAGTATGTCTTAATTTAGTCATTAAATTGACTAGCCATCATATATCTTTCTCCTATGTCTACAAGAGCATAGACAAAAAATCCTTACCCTTTTTATAGAGTAACAACTTAAACCTTTCAAAGTAAAGGAAAGAGTCATTGCAATTTCAGCTTCTATCAGTGATGAAAACCATTTTAGATAAACCATTTATTTGTAAATGGGTATCTTTAATGAATTATTCACGTTGTCAATAAATAAAATCCAGATACTTTAACTTACTTTTCCCTTTTGGTTTTGACTTCCCTTCTTTCACCTTCGCTCCTGTGATAGCAGCAAGCTCTGCTTCTAGGTCCCCATCATCCCCACCTTCCTCTGCACCCAGCAGCATCTCTTCAGGATTGAAATCTACAAACAGCCCCAGCTGGAGCCAAGGGAAAATAAAAAGTTAAAAAAAAAATACTGTAGTTAGAACTGAGATGACACGCAAAAGCATCACACTGGCATGGATTATTTAAACATTTTCATGTATTCTGGATTCTGTTCATTTTTTTAAAGCTCACTATCATACCACTTCTGTTATCAAAACAATGCATACTAGGCAGCCATAGCTGACATAAGGTATGTAAACCTTAATAAGCCACAAATACTCCCAACAAAACTCCACACCAGCAATGATTTCTTAAAGTCAAGCCTATCTAATAGTCTGACATAACAAAGTACAACAAAATTATGTCTGTTATACTGAGCCTCATGAAGCAGATGCCATCAGGGAAGTTCAGGGCAGTTCCTGTAACAGCTAAGCTAAAAAATATTCACTTGTGGTTCACACAACACAGGTCTGACATGCATACGCTGCAGAGATTCCACCCTTATCTCTCAGAAGAAGCTATATTTACATACACAGAATTGTTCTGTACTTCTTGGTACCTCAGTCTGAAAATCAAACACACAGAAAGTGCATGCACACAGACACAGAGAAGCAGCCATTACAAACCCAGCAGTGCCTACACTACACTGGAAAAAACCATCAACTGCCTGGAACAGATCATCAGCTTAGTGACAGCACTCAGGCAGTATCATTAATAACAGCAACCAGAACTTGACAAAGTAGTGGGGGTTATCACTCAACTGTTGGAAAACATGCCAAAGGACATAAGTATCAGAGAAATCTCTGAGGTCTTAGTCTAAAAGGTATTCTTCTAAGACACCATTTTATCTCAATTTCTAGATTGCTGGTTAAGATATTAACTGCCCCAGAAATATCAACATTTTTATTCAAAGTATGGTAAGCTTGTTTTATAAATATAAATTAATTGAATTCGATTCATCCTATGAGGTAGGTGGAGTAGCTTTCCTCAGACTTTTTCAAAGCACAAGCCCCTGTTGGCTTATTGGTCTTCACACGGCCAAATAGGCAGGAGCTCAGCTTCTCTCAAGCAAGGGAATAAAAATCAGTAGTCATTATTACAAGGGTTAACAATCTCCTCCTGCCTCTGAGGACCTGCAGTGCTGCCAGCAGCTGAAGCTGCCTGTCAGTTTATAAACTAGTTTGAATAAGTAATAACAATTATTTTTTTTAACCCTGTAGGATTCGAGGTACTGCTGGCTCCTGCCTTGAAATATTTTGTGTCCCTCTGAACCCTTTTATAATCCCAAAGGAGAATGTGAAACGCTGCTGAGAAACATCGGTTCCAAGGACCAGGAACAGTATTCAAAAAAAATCAGCAGCTATTTGTATACTAGCCCTGATCCTGCCCTTGAGATTCTGTTAAGACACTAGGCAGATCAGTCAGTCACCCTCTGCCTTATCCATCCTCCTTCCGTAAAACAAAACCAAGACATTTGGCATCTTGGACAAAACAGAAAGAAGGGCAGGACAAGATTTAATTAGGAAATATTTATAATGGTGATCTAAAGGTTCAAGTACTGTGGAACATACATACACCCTTTATCAATGTGCAAAATGGATCAGGAGCACACGTGACCTGTTCATTACTGCACTGCAAGCATAGAAAGTGAAGCAAGCGTAGTAATGAAGTCAAGAACTGAATCCAGCAGTTCTAGCTCTAAGGCTCTCAATCTGTTCAGTAAGGCACATCTCCAATAAAATTAATACTATTAAAGAAATGTTTTATTAAACAGAAAAAAAAGAGGTTATAAAAAACTTGCAGTTGATACACTACATCACACCAAAACAGCTTAAACTGAGTTAATTTGCAAGCAAATGAGCCATTAGTGTACTTGTTTCAAGACATAACCCTCCATGCTGTAAGACAGGCTGAATAACTAAATGTGTGGAATTAGAAGTTAGCATAATATGTTCATCAGATCCTTTACTTACTCTTTATCCTTTTAGAGTGTGGTTTCTTTTTTTGGAAGAGGGAGAAATACTTGCACCTTTTATCTTCTCCTTTGTTCAAGTGAACTAAATTACATACTACCTCTCCAACTGAGAAATACAAACTTTCATATTAGAGCAATGGCGACGTCATGGATCTTTAACTAAACCATTCTGCCTCCAGTATGAGAACACTAGTTCTTAACAAACCACCAAAAGAGAGTATCTTAGCTATTTTCTCTATTCTACTATCCTCTTCCAAACTCTTTTCATATTTCCCTATATTCTTATCAGTTATTCCTCCTCTGTATGTTACCTGTCTCTACCTTCAAAGGTTTCTAAAGTTCCATTCTGGTTCTAACGTATTCTTCACCTCTAACTGTACTGTTTTTCTTCCATTATTCTACCCAGAATTTTGCCTTGGTTATATTTCTAATTTTGACACTGCTGCCTGACTTCCTACACCTGCCAATCGTGACTAAATCATGTTGCTCTCCTCAAGACTTCTGAAACTACATTCAAAGGTAGAGAGTATGAAAAAAACAACCAACAAGTGGAGACATCTAAGCTTACTTTTAGCTACAGAAGAGGTACATAGGCTTATTGGTCTATCTGTTCCAAGAAAAAATGAGTATACATAGAGAAATTAAAATTAACTGTCCCTGGTGTAACATCTTAATGTTCTCCCATACGTTCCCCTGAATTTGTTATTTGATATTCAGGTCACCTTATTTACGTTTTTTTAGAGATGTGACAAAAACCACCGCATAGTTATTGAAGTTATTATTAAATCTCAATACAGCTGGGGTGGGAAACTACTATAAGCATGAGTCATGAGGCCTCACATAAAGATTACAGCATTACAACATCGTGGCTTCCCTGCAAGACCTCCTCTGCTGCGTATCAAGTATTTACTTTAAGAAGAATGCGCTTAAAGGAGCAAGCAGGAAAACAGGCATGACACAATTAAAATTTTTTCATGGTCCTACAATATCTTATTAACGCATGGGAGATCCTACCAGGAAAACAGCAGCAAGAGACCTGAACAAGACTGCCCTGAAGAGCCGTAGGAGTAGGTTTCCCTGCCTGCTTTGCAATCATATCTCCCTGGCCCTTTGCCTTCCTTACCTGCTTTGCAACTGCAGCTCCCTGGCCCTTTGCCTGAGGGCTTTTTTTAGGTCTTCTGCCAAGCATGCTGGTTCATGAATTTCAGAGGGTTGTGTCTCTAAGGGACTGAGAACACATGAAACTGGATGTCAGTATCCTCGCCTGCCCCGACCCGCTGCAAACTGGACGAAGGCAGGCAGCGCAGAGCACGCTGCGCACAAACCTGCAGCTTCTACCAGCACCCCCGAACACTGGGCAAGACCAGGAGGGAAGGGGGG